ACTGAACCACTCAGGCACACCAAGATTGCAGTTTTTAAATGGATAAGCAGAGAGAGCTGGTGAAGGTGATATTTGAATCAAGACCTAAAGCAGGTCCTCAGGTGAGTCATGAAGACATCTGACAGAGTACATTACATATAGATGAGTAAATGCAAAGGTCCTGAGGTGGGAGCATGCCTGGTGTGTTGTAGGGCCTGCATGAATGCCACAGTGCCTGGGTAGGGAGGTGGGAGTAATAGGAAATGAGATAAGGGGGCCTATGGGGCTTTGTAGGCCATTGGAAAACCTGTGACTGGTACTCAGTGACGTGAGGAGGTGATGGGATCTGGCCTAGCTGCCTAGTCACTTGATTGAGAACAGATTGTAGGGCACTAACGGTGGAAAAAGGAAGACAACCAAAGAGGCTACTGCAGTATTCAAGAAGACAGATGGTGGGGCGTCTGGGTGGCTTAGTCGGTTAAGCGTCCAACTTTCGCTTAGGTCATGATCTCACGGTTCGTGGGTTTGTGCCCCGTGTCAGGCTCTGTGCTGACTGCCAGCTCAGAGCCTAGAGCCTGTTTCAGAGTCTGTGACTCCCTCTCTCTCTGACCCTCCCCTGCTCACGCTGTCTCTCTCTCTCCTAGAAATAAAAAAAAAAACATTAAAAAAAAAAAAAAGACAGATGGTGGTGGTTTGGACCATGGTGGGGGCAGGATTTGCTGACAGATTGGATGTGGGGTGAAAATAGAGGCAACAAGGGTGATTCTAAGGTTTCTGACCTGAGCTAATGAAAGGACAGAGTCACCATGTTCAGACATGGGAGGCCAGCTGAAAGAAAAGGTTTGGGATGGGGTGACAATCAGGAGTGTAGTTTTAGATCAATGAAGCTGGATATGCCTATTAGATGTTAAGGAGGTAAGGTCAAGTTGACATTTGGGTATTTGAGTTTGAAGTTCAATGAGAGATCTGGGGATCATCATATAGATGCCATTTTATTTTTTTAAGGTCTTTTAATTCTTTTGAATATGTATTTTGGGGGAGAGCACGAGGGAGGGGCAGACAGAGGGGGACAGAGGATCTGAAGCAGGCTCTGTGTGCTAACACGTCAACAGCAGGGAGCCCTATGTGGGTCTCAAACTCACAAAGTGCGACATCATGACCTGAGCTGAGGTCACATGCTCAACTGACTGAGCCACCTAGGTGCCCCATTTTAAAGTTCTTTTAAATAGAAAGTTTCAAAAAAAAAAATAGAATGGCACAGTGATCCCACATCTACCCACCAATGAGCTTCAACAACCATTGCTTTCTGTGGTTTCTAGACAGTATTTTAAGCCTTGAGACTTGATTCCATGGGAATGAGTGTAGAAAGAGAAGAGGGTGGCCAGGTCCTGGATCACTCCAGCATTAAAGGGTTGAGAAGACAAGGAACCAGCAAAAGAGACTGAGCATAAGCAGCCAGTGAAGTAGGAGAAGAACCAGATTTGGGTACCCTGGAGGCCAAGTGAAGAAACAATTCCTAAATAAAGATGTGATTACAGTCTGATAAGTGCTGAGGAAGAAAAAGAAGAGTGCAGTGAGTTGTGTAACATGAGAACTAACCTAGTCTGAGGGTCAGGAAAGGCTTCAACCAACCAGCTCCTTTTTTCTGGGATGGCTTTATCCAGGACTATGTGTCAGCCACTAGGGGGCGCTTGGGACACCGCGATGAGAAAGGTAATTCCTGCCTTTAGGGAGCTTGTATTCTAGTGAGGAGACAGGCAAGCAAATCATTTTGTTCCAGTGTGCTGAGTGCTGCCAGCACAGAAGCACAGCAGCCCTTGAGAGCACCAGGAAAGGGCACATAACTCAGCCTGATGGGGAAGTCAGAAAGGCTTCCTGGAGGTAACAGCTGGGCAGAAAATGAAGTAGAAATTGGACACTCTCCTTATCTCTGTCCATACCCTTCAGCCTGGCTTGGCCCTTTCAAGTGTTAACCCCTTGCTGGCGTTCTTGGATTCCAAATCTTGTCTGAGATCTCAAGCCCAGCCTAAATCCTGGCTCCAGGGCTGGACTTTGCTCTCTTTCTCTCTCAGTAGGAACTGGTCCAGGCTGGGTTCCCTGAAGCTGCCTTCTGACCCGCTCTCCCACCCTCTGCTCTGCACTGACCTATCCTCCTGGGAACTTCCAGGGCTTCCTGTCTCCTTTATCCCTATGGGACTCAAAGTGGCCTAAGGAATCTTTTTAGGGAAAATTGATACCGGAGGCAGGACAGGACAGACATTAAGAACATGTAGGTTAATCAGTAACCAAAGACTGCAGAATAGAAATCTCTTGCAATCAAGTTAAAGCCAGGCGGGGGAGGAAATGCACCTATCTTGTCACCAGGAATCCCCAGTTATCCTAGAAAAGTACAGGGCGGGAAGTGTTTAGTAAACGTTGAATGAATAGTTCTTACAAGGTTTCAGTTCCCTACAGCAGCCCTAAGCTGCCCTTCTAACTCCTGCATAATTTTCCTAGCTCCTAACCAGGTGTAGAACGCCTTCCTCAGACCTGGCATTCAAGAGGACCCTGTGCAAAGATTTTTATAGGGCCACTTGATGGCTCTTTGAGAAACAGGTGCAAGCAGTCTGTTTCTCTGCCAGGCTTTTCCTGCATAAATTTCCAAGCACAGGCAACTGTTGGTATTCTCCCCGCTGGTGCCCTCAGTTTCTGGAGGCGGCGCGTCCCAAGGCCCAACACCGAGGGAAACGCGCCGCAGAGGGCAGCCCTGTATTCCATCTGCTCCCACGCGTCTTTCCCCGCCGCCTGCTCGCTCCCTGCCCTGTGGTGGGGCGCGCGTGTGCCTGCGTCTGCGCCCCCTCCCGGGAACCCGAGACTGCTGTGTGCGACTGTGGACTGCCCAGGAAGGGAAATCCCGGAGGAAGCCATTGTTGTTAGGTCCCGTGTTGTCGTCACTTGCCGAGGCATGGCTAGAAGCCCCTTCCCCGCACGGGGCTCTGCGCTTTCTCCGCGTTCTCGAGCTTTCCTGCCCTGGCCGCTTCGGGTGAGGCTACAGCCTCCTAGCCCTGGAGTGCGCGGTGGCCTCTCCGCACCCCAGTTCCAGGGGGAGGGGGGCCTCTCAGAATTGGGGAATCCCCAGGCCTGATTCAGAGCTTCGAAAACCGACGGCACCAAGCGGGACATGCCAGGACCCTGACCCAGGCGGGCTGGGCTTGAGTTCCACCCCGCTCCAACAAGGACCTACAAGGTGACCTTGGCTGGTGGCTTTCCCTCTTGCCATCTCCGTTTGCACCCCCACGACCCTAGGAAGTAGCTGAGGCCCCACTCCTCTAGGAGAGGGCGGAGGGAGAAAGGACCCCCACCCTCACTCGCTTGTGTGCTTTGGGCTGGGCCTTCCATGGGGAATTGGGGAGTCTGGGGGAGGGTGCGCTGGCCCTCCTCACGGCGTGGGTGGAGACGCGATGCGGCGGGTTAGAACCCCTTGGTTCTAACGTTCTGCACCGTTCCCCACCGTTCCCCGGAGCAGTATGCTCCCTTAGTGTACGCCGCCCGCAAACCTTGGCAAGGGCCTCACTCTCCCCCGCCCGAACAGCCAGCCCGCCGCCCAGCTTGCCTAATCCGTTCAAGCCTCACCTCCTCCGCGAAGCTCTCCCGGCTTAACCCTATCTCTTCCAACCACTCTATCTGGCACGTGCTCCTGCTGTTTGTTCGGTTTATTTTGGGGCGGAGGGGGGGGTAGTGTACAAGCAATTGCAATGTTTGGGATAATAACGAGGCTAGGTGTCTATTCCCAGAACCCTACATGAAGGACGCCCAGTGTGTTCTTCATGAAGGGTGCCCATTGACGAATGGGTTTCTCTGCTGGACTCACCACCAAACACTCCCACCCTCCATGCTTCCCCTTCCCAGTTCACTTTTTCCCCTCCTCCTCCAGACCCTCCTCTTCAGAGTGTCACAGCTTGAAAGGCACGATGCAATCCCCACCTCCATTTCATTCTACAGTGGCGGCAGGTTTGAGGGGCGGAGGGCGCTGAGCGTTTGAAGGTTTGACTCTAGGCTTGACCACCCGCTTTGCTGTAAGTCCCTCCTTCCGCGGGGACTTCCGTTAAAATTAGGCAAAATGAGGTAATGCCCAGCCAGGTACCAGGGGTTCAGAGGTAAGGAATCACCTGCTGACAAGCTGCAGCCTCCCTCCAAGAACAGTGGCTTGTGACCAGGGAGGTGGCATCGCTCTTTCCTCCTCGGGTTGCCCCAGCCTGAGTGACAAGACTGCGACGCGCGCTCTCTTCAGTCGCCGGCACGGCGCCCTGAACTGGAGAGGGAAAGAGGAGGGGGCTCCAGTCAGCCTTTTATTCACCGGCTGCATGACCTTAGACGCTTCCTCCTCTGCAACTCAGTTTACTCATCCGAAAAATAGGGATAGTAATGGATTGGAGGAGAGCAGGAAGCTTGTCACCCAAAGTCTCTATAAAAATAAATGATAATGAGCGGTTCAGTGCTTGGCAGCAGATTTTGCTTGCAAATTCCGACCCCACATCCTCCACAGAGGGGTTTCTGGCCGCAGTCCCTGGAGTTCTCCCGGATGTGTCACTGCTCACCCCACACTCTTCCGGGTACTCTCGAGCTAGGTAATGGACCCACACCTGTTTCTGCCTCCGTGTGGGGCGCTGAGCGACGACCCCACGCAGGCTTGCAAGGAGAGACGTTCCTTGGAAGATGGTAGGTCTGGAGGTGCCTAGGCTTGGGCGCCCGCTTTGGAACGTGCAGGCGGGGCTTGGGTGGGGGCGGGGCTAGTTTGACGAAGGGGAGGAGGCTATGGAGATTAGCCGTTCTCTAGAACCCTGCGGGGGCGCAGAGGGCTCGCGTCGCCCCCACCTGGCTCTGGCGCCTGGAAATGGGGCTTTGACTATGAGGCGGGGCTCCGGGGGGTGGGGTTTAGGCGTGGGGGAGAGGCCCGGCAGCCTGGAGGCGGGGCTTGGGGAGCTCGCCCCACGCGGGGCGGGGCTCCAAAGGCCGCGGGATCTGCAGTTCGGACTCCCCGCGCCACTGTCGCCGCAGTTCCCTCCACTCTGGTGGCCCCGCGGCCCTGCGGGGAGTCCGGGGGTCGGCTGGACGCTCGGACTTGGTGCAGGGCCGGCCCCGCCTCTCCCTTCTTCAGTGGGGCCTAGACGGTCGGGGCCGCGGTGACATGGAGCCCTCTCCTGCCACGGGGGGCTCGGAGACCACTCGCCTGGTGAGCCCCCGGGACCGCGGCGGCGCCGGTGGCGGCCTGCGCTTGAAGAGGTAGGACAGACCTGGGCCGGCCCTCGGCCCGGGGGCGCCAGCCTCATGCCATCCGTCCATTTCGTTTGTCTCTCTCCGCGCGGCCCCGGCTGTCCGCCCCAGCGCCCCGCAACTCCCTCCGCTTCTCCGCTCCCGGCTCTGTGCTCTCCGGCTACATAGCCAACAGCCCCCGATCCTCCCAGCAGCCTGCTTTGCCTCCTCCCAGCCACCTTCTTTTTCTCGGTCCCGCGAAACCGTTCCCTGGCGGGTTCCCGAAGCCTCTGGACCCTCCTGCCGCCCTCGCCGCATCTGACTTCTCCGCGAGCAACTGCTCCTCCGTCGGGCTGGAGTCCGCGCCAGGTGCCCCGATGTCTGCATTGCTCCAGACCCCTGGCAGTGCAAGCACCTCGCCTCCCGGGGTTCAGAGCCCCCTCTGCAGGCCCCTGGCCCTTCCCTCCGTGCGCTCGGGTTCGGGGCGCCCCCTCCAGCCATGGCCAGCTGTGCGCACCCGGGCCGAAGATGGGCCCGGGCTCCACAGCGGTTCTTCCCGGCCCCTGGGGGGCGGCGGCCGCCGGCAAGCGAGGGGGTGGCAGGGAAGGAGCAGGTGCGGTCTGGGCGGCAGGGGGTATTCCCGGCTCCGCACAGACGGGGCCGGGGGCGGCGAGGTGTGAAATGAGGCGCGCGGAGCGGCCGGGACAGCGGGCCGGGGGCGGCCGGAGAACCTCCTCCGCGTCCCGCCGGCCTCCCGCGCCGGGCGCCCGCCAGCTCTGTCCGCCTTGTCCCTCAGAGAGGCCGCGCCAGGCCCATCCTGGCCACCTCCGCTGGCCATCTTGTCTGTTGGCTGACCGTCCGTTTGTCTCGGAAATTTGACAGCCTCTCCGGCTTTTTCTTTCTTCATTTCTCCTAATCGTTCTGTTTCCCTCTGAGCACCTTTCCCTTTGTCTCTGATGTGGTGCTTCTGGGTGTTTCTCGCTCTTTCCCTGGGTGGGGGCCATAAACCTGGGTGGGTGGGGGAGTGGATGAACAGAAGGGAGGACAGACTTCCCGTCTGACTCCTTCCTGCAGGGGACTGCAGACGTGGGCAGCTGTGGGGGCTCCAGCCCAGGCACCGGCGTGTCTTCACCCATCCTTTTGATTCTGCTTCAGGCCTTTGTCCCCTGCCCACACCTGCGCCCTCTGACCCTCCCCTCTACCCCACTGTCATTTGTTGTTTGTTGGGGGTTTCAGAAGGCCAGCAGGAGAAAACTGCCTTGCCTTTCCTTCTCTCTAAACAGCATGTAGCACACACACACCCCCCCCAACGCCAACAATGAGCCTTCTTTTTTTTTAATGTATTTTTTTAAGTAGGCTCCTCGTCTAATGTGGGGCTTGAACTCATGACCCTGAGATTAAGAGTCGCATGTTCTACCGAGAGAGCCAGCCAGGCACCCCAACAATGAGGCTTCTTTAGTGCCCAATTCATGCATAACAAAAGGGAACTGCCTGTTGATGGGCGGCTACCTTGGTGACCAGCTACTCTGGGCCTTACAATAAAGGCATCTTGCCCACTGCCCCAAAGCCACGCAGCCTCTGCTAGCTCTCCAGACCCGTATCTCTGACGCCCAGCTCATTTTCATTCTCATATGACCATTAGTCACCAAATCCTGCAGTATTTTCTGAAAGAGGCTCTTCCCTACCTACCTGCCCCTCCCCTAAAGTTCTGTGGAGGGGCTCTGTGGCTTGGTCTATTCTGGATCCTTCCATCTCCTCTCCTGTCTCCCTCCCAGACTAACATACATCAGCAAGGTCATCTCAAGGCTTGGGAAGGATATATGAAATCAGTCAGTGTATCTCCCTTGATGTTCCTTGGAGTCCTCACTTTCCTCCTCCAGCCCTTGCCCTGGCTCCTGACACTTAAAACTCCCAGCCACTTATCTTGTCATTGGCATTCCATGTGTCTGGAGCCCCTTCTTCACCTAGGTCTCATGTTAAACAGCTGTCCCTCCGTGATGTTCTCCTCACCCCCATTACAGTTCGTCTTTCCCTCCCTGGTGCTCCAGTGTCCTTTGTTCATAATCCCCCTGGCCCTAGTCTCTCCTTGCCTAGTAAGTTATCTGTGACATATCCGTCTCTCCCACCGCACTGGGCTTCCCTGTGTGTGCACTGCCTGGCCACCTGAGGCCTGGGCACCCAACTATGTGTATACCTCACTGAAGATTGAGGATGGATTTCAAAGCCACCTTCATCTCCTTGTCTCCTCTGGAAACACACCCAGAATCATACGCACCAAGATTCTAAGTCTTGGAAGAAAATTCCAAGAAATTAATCTACCTGCCAGCAGTTGAATTTTCCCTACAAGCACCAAATGTCCCCCCACCTCCCTCACACCTCAGTTCACCCACTTGGCAGAGCTTTCCCTAGCCAGAAGGCCCCAGGCATCCCTCCTCACTTACTGCTGTGATTGCATTTCTATCTGGAGCCTTCATTTTCACTCATGGATATTTTTGTCACACCTCCATGAGTATTTCTAGGACTGTGTTTTCTAGTTAGGCTCTTTGTTCTGTGGACAGTTCTGGCCTTGCTGGGACTCAGGTTGGGTAGTGGTAGGGTTGAGAACTGGGTCAGAATGAGCCTAAAACAGCCTGAGCTCAATCTCGGGCATCCCAGGTGAGGACCCAGCCCCATTCACTTATCAAGGGAGGCTGATGGCACTGTACAGTTAAGGTGGCCTCCGCTGGGCACTTACGGTCAGACTGAGGGTCCAGCTAACATGTAGCAGACACCAGATCCAGTGCTCCTACCACTACCTCCCCACACACAGCAGACTGTGCTTGGTCCTCCCCATGTGGAGGACCCAACCCCAGTGTGGAATCTGGCCATTAGTTCTCTATGCCTGGAACCTCAGACTTTTTGCGTCCCAACATTCCACTCCTCTTTCTTTCTTTTTTTTTTTTTAATGTTTATTTTTGATAAAGAGAGTGTGAGTAGGGGAGGCGCCGAGAAAGGGGAAGAGTGGATCTAAAGCAGGCTCCACACTGACAGCCTTGAACTCACAAACTGTGAGATCATGACCTGAGCCGAAGTCAGACACTCAACTGACTGAGCCACCCAGGCGGCCCTCCACTCCTCTCTTAAATGGCCACATTTCAGCCACATGTCTAGATAGGGAAGACGAAGGATCTGGAGTGGAGGCACTACGAAACACGTCTGGGAGTGAGGCACTAAGACCAGGACCACGTGCTCCGTCTGGCCTCAGCTTCGACACCACTTTCTCATATTGCCTCTGCCTGGCATGTTCACCCTGCCTTCATCAACACCTTCCCCGTCCTTCAAGGCTCTTCTGGTGCCTCCAGCTGTTTCCCTGATTTCTTTCAGATTCTCTACCCCTCTATTCTCTGAGTGCTGATAGCACTTTGTTTTAACTGCTCCGATGGCAATAGCTACCTTCTACTACGTAGCATAGTACTTAGGTTCACATTTGTTCACCAAAAACTCCCAAAGATCAGCATGATCCTGCTGATTTTGTGTTCCTTATGGTGCCTATCAATTCATTATGGTGGAGTCTGCTCTTCACCGTGAACTAGCTGTGTGGACTCCATATGTCCTCTCCCTTTCTGAGCCTCATACTTGTAATCCCATCTCTATGGGGCCTTGCAGCTGTGAGATTCTGTGGCTGTGTGTGTGAAAGGAAAAAGGAAGCTGGGATCTGAGCTGTCTGCTCAGCCCCCATCTCTCATGTGGCCCTCTGTCCCTGAGGCTCCTCGGTTTGAGCAGCCCTTGGGACAGACAGAGGGAGGCCAGGCCACAGCTGATGAAGGCTGTCTGGGGGACCGAGGACCTGGGAGTGAGGAACAGAGTCAACTGTAGCCAGGCCCCAGGTTGAATTGTGCTGCCTGCCTCAGTCTCTTCACAGAGCCCTCGGAGCCCCTCCCTGAGGAACCCAAACCTGCGGAGATGCCCCTCCACCACTGCCACAGGGACCCCATGCCACAGGCGGGCCTCACCCCTGAGAGGCTGCAGGCACAGAGGCAGCTGTGTGCCGCCTGTGCTGTGTGCTGCGTCTTCATGGCCGGGGAGGTAGTCGGTAAGTTGGAGAGCAGCTCCTCCAATCCCATCCTCTCCACACCTGCCTCAGCCGCTCTCCGCCCACCCACGGAGAGCATCCCAGCAATATTCTTAGGGGGGCAAGCAGAGAAGGGGATGGCTGGGGTGGGGAGTTGGGTGCCCAGGAAGTGGGAGAGGGTGACGGATAGCACCAAGGTGATTCAGGGGTCGGCCCCGAGGCAGAGGGCCGGGCTGGCTTCTCAGCATTAGCTAGTCTTTTTAAAGTCCTATTTTCTTGATACTAGAATGTGTCATTATAGAAAAACTAGAAAATGTGGGTGAGTGAAAAGAAGAAGATAAAACCTCCCTATAATCTCGCCAAAATGGTTCACATTTTGGCGCACGTCCCCCCAGTGCTTTCTGTGCTTATACACACACTGCCACGGTGCATGGTATTTTCTAACTGGACCCCGACCACCCGTTGCTTTGCCCTTGCAGGTGGGTATTTGGCACACAGCCTTGCCATTATGACCGATGCCGCCCACCTGCTGGCGGATGTGGGCAGCATGATGGGCAGCCTCTTCTCCCTTTGGCTCTCGACCCGGCCCGCCACCCGCACCATGACCTTTGGCTGGCACCGCTCAGGTAAGGCTCTGCATGGCCCAGTGAGCCTCCAATCTTACCAGAAGGTGCCTCCTAGGGTCCCAGGCGGGTCTCTGATAGCTTGTCTCCCCCTGCAGAGACTCTGGGGGCTTTGGCCTCTGTGGTCTCCCTCTGGATGGTCACTGGCATCCTCCTGTACCTGGCCTTCATCCGCCTGCTGCACAGCGACTACCACATCGAGGGTGGTGCAATGCTGCTGACCGCCAGCATCGCAGTCTGTGCCAATCTGCTGTACGTTCCAGCATGGAGCAGGCACCATGCGGGGTTCAGGGCGAGGGGTCCTCCTCCAGGGTGGGAGAGCTGGCTCTCTCCCCTCCCCAACAGGCATGCAACAGGCACACCCAGGGCTGCCTGAGAACAGACAGGAGAGAGACCTAGAAGTCAGAGTCCGCAGACGTTTATGAAGGGCCTGCTGCGTACCAGCCACTGTGCTGGGGGGCTTTCATCCAGTACTATCTCATTTGAGGCCCACAACGACCCTCGGAGGTAGACTGCATCGCCCCTTGCATACAGTTCATGAAATAGATCCCAAGCAGCAGTCGGGTGACTTGCCCAGGCCACACAACTGTTTAAGTAGCAGGGTCAGGATCTGAATCCATGTCTCCAGCACCAAGTACAGTATTTTTCCTGCCCAGGCTGCACGATTTGTCTCTCTTGTCCAATGTTGTCTTCTTCCCCGGGTTGGGAAAATAGGGAGAAACTAGGTGGAGAAAGGCCTCCTGGGGAGGGGAGGTGGGGAGACATGGAAACAGGGCGGAGTAGGCCAGGAACGGGCCACCTGGGCTGAGCTGCTCTGCTTCCCCCTCAGAATGGCCTTTGTGCTGCACCAGGCCGGGCCCCCCCACAGCCACGGGTCTAGGGGGGCAGAGTATGCGCCGCTGGAGGAGGGGCCAGGGGAGCCCCTGCCCCTGGGGAACACCAGCGTCCGGGCAGCCTTTGTGCATGTGCTGGGGGACCTCCTGCAGAGCCTTGGGGTACTGGCCGCCTCTGTCCTCATCTACTTCAAGGTACTGTGTGCGCAGGCCTGCCCCAGCCTTCCTTCCCTAACTCCATACCCCAGCCCCTCCTTTCCAGGGCCCTTGGCCTCACCCCCTCCCACTCCCCACCGACTCCCAGCTCCCCAGATCATGGTCCCTTTCCCTTCAGCAGAGCTCTCAGGGGCCTCTTGGGTCCTGTCTGTCCAAGAAACCCCTAGATCTTCCTCTGGAAGGTTCCTGCTTCCTGGGCTTAGAGATCTCTTTCTCTGTAGCCTCAGTACAAGGCAGCTGACCCCATCAGCACCTTCCTCTTCTCCATCTGTGCCCTTGGATCCACAGCTCCCACCCTCCGAGATGTTCTTCGTGTCCTCATGGAAGGTAAATCAGATGCTACTGCTCCCTGTCAGGGGCCCTCTCTGATCTCGCTCCAGCTCTGAGCCACCTCTCTTGTCTGAAGAGAGTGTCGGGAGAAGGTCTGGGCCCTGGGGCCTATTGCTAGAAGGAGGACTCAGGCACAGGGTGAATTGTGGGGGGTTAATGGTAAGTGGGTACAGGGTGGGGGGGTGGGGAGCTGCCCTTGGGCAGGAATGGCCCTGGCAGTAAGCATGGCTTGTGCTGTTTGCAGGTTCCCCCCGAAGTGTGGGGTTTGAGCCCGTGCGGGACACACTGTTGTCCGTGCCAGGAGTCCGGGCAACTCATGACCTGCACCTGTGGTCCCTTACGCTCACTTACCACGTTGCCTCCGCACACCTGGCTATTGGTGAGTCCACACTGGCCCCAGCCAGTTACCTCCTAGAAACAGTCCCCCACCTCCCAACCCCACTCCCCACGCCTCCCTTCCAAACCTAGGGAGATCGCCTGAATTGCTGTTTCTGTCTCTATCTTTCCTGATCTCACTCTCACACACACATGTATGTTGGAGACAAGGAGCCCTGGACGGGCTTTCGTGACGGGGGGAGGTTTCTCCCTCTCTGAGGTAGTGCAGAGAGCCAGCAACCCTAGTACCTGGTACCTAGTACCTGGGTGACTCAGTTGGTTCAGCGTCCGACTCTTGATTTCGACTCAGGTCATGATCTCATGGTTTGTGAGATTGAGCCTTATGTTCGGCTCCACACTGAGAGCACAGAGCCTGCTTGGGATTCTCTCTCTCCCTTTCTCTCTACCCCTCTCCCTGCTCATGCACGCACTCTCTCTCCCTCTCTCTCTCTCTCTCTCAAAACAAATACAGAAACTTTAAAAAAAAAAAAAAAAAGATCGCTAGTACCAGTAGGTCTAGTGACAGGACACAGTTAGGTAAGTTCTGACCGTGGGGTATCATGGAACTACTCAAAAGGATGATTATGAACACTGTATGCCAACTAGGAGAAATGTTTATGGTATAAAGCTAAGAGAAAAAAGCTGAATGTAAAATTATATCTACATTATGATTCAACTATTAAAAATATATATGGTGACTCACAAGCTGACAAAGGATTTTTGAGTTTCTTCCAGATGCAAGAAGCAATCAGAGACATGCAATTTGGATGCCAAAAATATTATACTTTGTAGGATAGTTGATGGTAACTCTAGAGGGACAATGGGAGAAAATATTTAACATCTGGATTGTCTCAGGGAATGGGGCACTGTGGCTGCAGAAGCATACAGCTGCATGTTAACAGTCAAAGAGCAGAAGACAATAGAAAAATAAGAATGGTTTGGTGGTTCAGCCGGGTAGCATGGTTGATTAGGGGGTGAGTCTCTCCAACATTTTCTTTGGCATTTTTATGCTGTTCTTACGATACGGAAAGAAAATAAAGCTGCTCGTTCAAGCCTGGCTTTACTGCTGTGCAAGCCATTCGGGCCCCCTCCCCCCACCCCCCCACTCCTGGCCTTATCTGGGCCCCTGCCTCATCCCCGACTCCCCCGGGAACTTGCTGCCTCTTATCACTCTCCCACAGACTCCACGGCTGACCCTGAAGCTGTCCTGGCTGAAGCTACATCCCAGCTCCACTCCCGGTTTGGATTCTCCAGCTGTGCCCTGCAGGTTGAGCAGTACCAGCCCGAGATGGCCCAGTGCCTGCTCTGCCGGGAGCCCCCCCAAGCCTGAGCCGAAGCCCTGCCCTCACCCCACTGCCAGGCCCTGGCTCAGCCCCAGATTCTCAGTCCCTGCCTCCCCGCTCTCAGAAAAGGGACAGAACTGGGCCCATACTCCTTCCTCTCTCCCTCCTTCCACCTGCCAACACCCAGCCCCCCAGTCCCCCAGCCCCCCAGCCCCGGTGGGCAAGACCAAAGTGGGTGTGTGTCTGGGGGAGGTGGTCTGAATGGGAATCAATCGGTAGGGGTGTGTATGAGTCCCTCCGTCCCCACTCTACGCTCTGGGGAGCGCAAGCGTCCTTCCCATGCAGTTCATCTGTGCGTGTGGCAGGCTGGCTGGCTGGCTGGGGGCATCTGCCTGTCTGTGTGCTGTTGGTGTGCCTATGCCTGGGGGAGGTCAGCAGGGGCCCCCTCCCCACGTGGCCCTCGCTCTGTCTATGCAGGAGCCCCAAAGCCCGCACTTTGTCTGTGTGTTCAAGCCCTGTGGTTTTGTCTCCGTGTGTGTGTGTTTCTTGGTGCTGTGGCCTCTGTCGTGTGTGTGTCTCCGTGCCTATGTGGCTGTGCTATGGTCTCTCTGAGTCTGCACCATCCGTGTGTCCTTTCGGGGGTCTGTCTGTCCATCCCTCTGTTGGTGCTGTGCCCTCGGCTATCCCAGAGAGAGGGAGGACTCCGCTGCAGCTCCACCAATAAACTTGTGTCTAACTGCATCTCTCAGCCCCTGTACTGATTCCTCAGGAGGGGGAAGAGGAAGTGCCAAGTCAGAGTGACCTTCCTTCCACAGGCCTCCCACCTCCTGCCCAGCGCCTCCGCCCTCTCCACCCTCAAATATCCATTCCCCTGGAGGCTAAAAGCCTCCAGTCCTTTTATTACCTTCTCTTACTTCACAGCCTGGGTCTCTGGCTCAGGAAGAGTCCCCATGCACCACGGGCCTGGTTGCAGGAGAAAATTGGGAGGCAAGGAGCCAGGGGATCTCAGAGAATCATTCCTAAAGACCCCTGCAGGCACCATGGCCTCGGGCTGGTCAGAGGGAAGCTTTGTCCCTTTGGGGGAGAGTGGTTGGACCATGTGCTGCTGTGGGCCTAGCTCCTGAGCTGTGTAAGGTGTCAGGGGGAGAGGCCCTCACCCTGAGACCAGTTCTGGGCTGTGGACACCAAGCATCTCTCTTTTTTTTTTTTAATATTTATTTTTGGGAGAGCGCAAGTGGGGGAGGGGCAGAAAGAGGGGGACAGAGGAAGCGGGCTCTGCACTGACAGGCTGACAGCAGAGAACCCCATGCAGGGCTTGAACTCACCAACTGCAAGATAATGACCTGAGCTGAAGTCAGCCGCTCAACGGACGGAGCCATCCAGGTGCCCCACCAAGCATTTCTTTTACAATTATCCTCCCTTTGCCTTTCAGAATCATATACATATTTATTTTTTATTTTAGAGAAAGAGCATGGGTGGGGGAGAGGGGCAGAGAGAGAGAGAGAGAGAGAGAATCCCAAGCAGCCTCTATGCTCAGCACAGTCTGTCACAAGGCTCAATCCCACAACTGTGAGATGATGACCTGAGCCAAAACCAAGTGTCAGACGCTCAACCAACGAAGACACACAGGCACCCCTAAGTATCATATATTTCCAAGACAGATTTAGTCTTATAAACCAAACTTAAGGGATTATCATTACTATTAAGAGCTCCCTTGGGGCGCCTGGGTGGCTTAGTCGGTTAAGCGTCCGACTTTCGCTTAGGTCATGATCTCGCGGTTCGTGGGTTCGAGCCCCGCGTCGGGCTCTGTGCTGACTGCCAGCTCAGAGCCTGGAGCCTGTTTCAGTCTGTGACTCCCTCTCTCTCTGACCCTCCCCTGCTCACGCTGTCTCTCTCTCTCAGAAATAAGTAAACCATTAAAAAAAAATACATTAAAAAAAAAAAAAAAAAAGAGCTCCCTTAAACTTAAGGGACTGTGGATTTTCTCTCTTAAAAATCAAACTCTTTGCACTTTGATTTTAGATCTAGTGCATCGGATCAGCAGGAATTCACACCTTGCCACCCTAGATTAATACAACTCCAGCCCGAAGCAAAGAAACTGAGCATTTTCATTAGCCCATGCTAATGAAATTCTAATTCTGCAAGGCCTTCCTCTGTGTAATGGAAATCACTTTATTATAAAATGATCTTTTGTTATTATAAAAGGAATGTATGATTGCTTTAAGAGTCCAACAAAGGAAGATTGTATAAAGTAGCAAGTGACTTTCCCCTATTATATTACTCTCAGAGGTAACTGCTGTTCAGTTTGGAGTCTCTCTGCCCACGTTTTTATGTATGAACAAACAGTTCTATATAATAACATAGACGGGATCACTTTATAGGTGAGATCACGTAACCTGCTTTTATGATTCAACCACACATCCTGGATGCATCTTTCCATGGCCACACACATTCTTTTCATTGTTCTTTTTAAGGTGAGGCTTTTGGACTCACTGAAAATAGGCCTCCCCACTCTGATCTCCAGCTGCACTCCCCCCGCCCCCCCAGGCTGGGTGAGTCTCCGCTGGCCTGAGTACGAGTCAGGCACTGGAAGCTGGGCTGAGGTGAAGGGCTGGCGGTCCACCACACTCTGTGCTGTTGAGGATGCCCCAGCTGCTCTCCATGCTTTGCTGGTTCCTGACACTTTCTCATTTTACGTCTCATTGATTACAGGCCCCAAGCGACAGGGTGGGGGTGGGGAAGAGTGAGGAAAACAGAGGGTAGGGAAAACGAGGACTAGATTTTCGCCCTATGGCCGGCCTTGAGCTCAGTCCCACTATATACCACAATGCTGGGTTCCTTTGTGGGGGAGGGAGCACAGTGTTCAGGATGGAATGAGACTTCACAAAGGATGCGGTCCATCTCTGCCCCACACCCTGGCAAGACGAGGAAGTGGAAGCCAAGTGGAAGCCGAGGCTCAGAGAGGGAAAAGAACTTCCCCAGGGTCACCCAGCAAGTGTCAGGGGCAGGAGCAGAACCATGGCTCTCACTCCCACTCAAGCCTCTTTGAAGCTCTTGCCTAGTGCAGTTTCTCACCAAAACTTTGCTCAGTTTCTTTTTCAGCCACCTGCTGCCACTAGCCACTAGCAGGGCACACCCAGCGGCTCTGGACTCAGGCTTCTTGGTTCTGCCTCAGTCTCTATCAATACACCGGTCCTTCTAACCTCTCTGTGTTCCTGCTGTAATTATAAAAAGGAATTACATGGTACTGTGAATGTGAAGGTTCCTGGTATATAAAGAGCATGTAGCAATAGGTTCTTTTGGGTGGAATCCAGGAGCAGGGGTGAGAGAGATATCAGGGGAACAGGGTGGCCCAACACTCTAATAGCAGGGACGAGAGTCAACATTTACTGAGCTTACACCGGTGCGAGGCACCATAGACTGCTTTACCTCCACTTTACACATGGAGAAACTGAGGTGTACCTGCCCAGGGTCCTGCAGCTAATTACTGTCCGGGTTGAGATGCAGACTCAGTCCTGGCTGCTCTAAGTCCCCAGCCCTTTTACGCACCACTCTCTCTTTCCATCCATCTCCCAGCTTCAGGCTCTGCTCAGTCAGGGACACGGAAGGACAGAGGGATCAGGGGCATTCTCTCTCCTTCATTCATACAGCACTCTCCAGGGAGTCCTGGAAATCCTTATCTGCAGGAGCTGCCCGCATCCTCTCATTATCTGCCCAACCCACCTCCACTTGCTTTTCCGGAACGTCCTTTCCTCTTGGTGTCTTTCCCTGATGATAAAATATGTGGTGGAGGGAGAAATGAGGAGAGAGGGCTTGCGGGGGAGAGGGGACGACGGGGAGGCCAGAGCAGGAGCAGAGCTGGGGAAGGGCCCATCCATCAATCCAGCCCTGGCAGCGCCTTACACAGCTGGTTAACCAGGGGAGGGGAGGGGAGGCGGCCGCCTGTGAGGCAGACAGGCACCAAAAAAAGACAGGGTGGAGAGAGGGGAGAGAGGGACAGTCTGGTGATGCTGAAAGTGCCGTTTTCTGCGCGTTCGAGAGAGATGGGAGACCCGGGAGTCGGACGGAGAAGCCAGAATTGAGGGGGGAGTGTGTGGCCGCCGAGAGGGGGCGTGGGAACATCCGGGCAGATGGGCAGGCCCCGCCCCCTCGCTATGGGGCTCACCCGGGGCCCACTGGGCGGGGTGGGGCTGAACCTCTCTGTCGGACAGCGAGGCCTGACGACCCAGCGGACCAGGGGAACAGCTTGTCGGGCCGGGAGGAAGCACTGCGTGGTATATTGGTATCTTCCTCCCTCTGGAGACCCTGCCGCCTTTTCAGGAACTTCAATGAGCTGGGAGCTCATCCTGGATGCCTTAGCCAGACCATCAGAGGGAGAGCAGCGCCCCCCCGCGGCCTACGCTATGATAACAAAGGCAGCCAGAAGGCTCTGGAGGGGATCTCAGGACGAAGGCTAGATGGGAAGAGCCCTCTTCCGGACAGATTCCCCCACCCCTGTAGAGAACTACATTTAGGGAGTTTCCTTTGTACTTGAAGGACTCTTTATCCCCAACTCCGGCCCTGATCTGGGCACCAGAGCCATCCCATCACCACGGGATCCATACCTTCCAAGGGGTGCTGGGCAGTGGGGCAGAGTCTTAGGTGATCACAAATGGTCCTAGAAATGGGCCCTCCTGCTAGGACTAGCGAGAGAACGTGGGCGTGGGCGGCGAGAATGCCCAGGAAGGAGGGGCCCAGAGCCTGTGCCTCTCTCCTTCAGCCCCCACTCCCTGCCCTCTCGCTGCCCCAGCCTCCCTCACCTGCTCTCTGGCTACAGCATCCTGAAGCCCCAGGAAGCAGCTCCCACTGAGCCTGGAGAAGCTCACTCCCTGTGTGTCAGAGCTGACCCTCTGCCCTCCTCACCAGTGTAGAGGCCATGTGACCACCCTGGGAAGGGCACATGTCACGCCGCTCATGGGCTAGTCCCCTCCTCCCCTCCTGCACCAGATCTCCCACTCTCTGTGGAAGACCTTCTGGTCAATTCCTAAGCGGATGCCTCAGGATGGGAGAGGAGGAAAGTGCCGCCAGCCACATCTCCCACCCTAGCTTAGCACTGTAGGTAGGTTCCTTTTCCAGTCTTAAACGGAAACAGAAAAGCTTCCCAGAACAGAACAGGAGAGCACTGTCTGGGGGTCTCCAGGTGCACCCCTTCTGAGTTTTTCTCTCCAATTTGGTGCCGTGCCTGTGGCACCTGCTCCCAGGGCTTACTGCCTTTCTCTCCGACCCAAACAGTCTGAACATTCAATTCCACTCTCTTGTTCTCTTTGGCTCCACTAAGACAGAGTATAAATTTCAAAAGGACTGGAGCCAAAAGCCTAAGGAGAAACAAAATGGAACCAAACCCAGGAACTAAAAGACAGTTAAAGCTTACCAAAATAAACTGGTTTCGGGCCCTATAATAGCAGACTTGCTTTCCCTGGCCCAGTGACGGCCTCCCTGTTCTCCTCCATCCTGCCCACCTGCTGCCCCGGAGCAGGGTTCAGATCAGGACTCGGTCACACGGGACTTCTGGGAAACACAGTGATGGGGTGAGATTGCTTCATAAATCTCACATCCCCAGAGGGAAGAAGGCACTGGCTTTCCTTACGTTTGCCTGGCACTTCGTAGATGCTCAGTAAGAGCTGTTGGTGAAGGAGTGAATGGATGAAAAGATGCTAAACGTATGGACATCAGGTCATACAAAGCCTTCTTAGACCCCAGGTTCCCACC